AAGTGCAAATTTTGATTCCTGGTTGTGAGGAGTGTATTTCCAGAATGCTTGAATTTTTTTCAGAGAACCCTGGGTCGTCTGTAGATTTTGAAGAGCGATGTGTTAAAGAAGAGAATTTTCTTACCTGGAATTCCTTGCTACAGTGGCCAGTCAGGAGCGTAAAGGAGAATTGTCGGACAATGAAGACAGTCAGCACCCCACAGTCGTCGAATGCTTGCTATGAAGGCAAGCATCAAAAGAAGCCCTGGAGGGTTTTCCCACCTTCCCCTGTGAGAAGAAGGGGAAGAAAATGCAGACAATGAAAGGAGGCTGAGGAAGAGGCTCCAAGTACTTCAGCTGGTCTGAGCAGGCTTCTACCACAGGCAGCCCGGCCACAGAAAGAGCAGAAAAGCAGAGCTGGTAACCCCCGGGAGAGTGAGTTTATTCTACAAAAACTTGGTGAAATTATTTTTATTTTAGCTGATGTACTTAAGGGTGCAAATCCAGCTCAGGCTTGGGGGGTTGATACCAACAGAATCCCATGGGAGGTAGTAGAGGAGCCTAATATGGGGTGTTAGTGAAGTTAGCAGGAAAGAAGCCTTGGCATATGAAAGCTCCCCTTTGAGCTTTCATCTGACTAAGGCGGTAAAAAAATTTTTGGAAAGGTGATGACATTCATTTATTTTCCCTATTACCAACCGTGAAAGATTTAAAAGAAAATTAAGAAAAAAAGAAACCGGTTTCTAAAACATTTAATAATTGGCTACAAGCCTATTGTATATTCGCTGCAGTTTATGGGGAAAAACACCCAGAAAAATGTAGTGAATTATTTTAATACTTTGACACAGTTCTGGAGACATACAAAAATGTTGGTTTCGTCAGAAACTGGCAGTCCATCCTAATTTGTCATGGGGTATGAAAGACATAGGCTTGTAAGTGAGCCTTATGATGCCACAAAAGTCCCCCTTTTTCCTTTAACAGATTTAATACCAATACTCAACAAAAAAGAGGTATCTGCTGGGCATTCAATGAGGCCCAATGCAAATGGCAGAATAACTGTATATACAGGTGATACTCGAAAAATTAGAATATCGTGCAAAAGTTCATTTATTTCAGTAATGCAACGTAAAAGGGGAAACTAATATATGAGATAGACGCATTATATGCAAAGCAAGAGAGTTCAAGCCGTGATTTGTCATAAGTGCGATGATTATGACTTACAGCTCATGAAAACTCCAAATCCACAATCTCAGTAAATTAGAATATTGTGAAAAGGTGCAATATTCTAGGCTCACAGTGTCCCACTCTAATCAGCTAAGTAAGCCATAACACCTGCAAAGGATTTCTGAGCCTTTAAATGGTCACCAGTCTGGTTCAGTAGGAATCACAATCATGGGGAAGACTGCTGACCTGACAGTTGTGCAGAAAACCATCATTGACACCCTCCATCCAGGGAAAGCCTCAAAAGGTAATTGTGAAGGAAGTTGGATGTTCCAAAAGTGTTGTATCAAAGCACATTAATAGAAAGTTATGTGGAAGGGAAAAGTGTGGAAGAAAAAGGTGCACAAGCAGCAGGGATGACCGCAGCCTGGAGAGGTTTGTCAGAAAAAGGCCATTCAAATGTGTTGGGGACTTTTACAAGGAGTGGACTGAGGCTGGAGTCAGTGCATCAAGAGCTACCACACACAGATGGATCCTGGACATGGGCTTCAGATGTCGTATTCCTCTTGTCAAGCTGCTCCTGAACAACAAACAACGTCAGAAGCGTCTTACCTGGGCTAAAGAAAAACAGACCTGGTCTGTTGCTCAGTGGTCCAAAGCCCTCTTTTCTGATGAGAGCAACTTTTGCATCTCATTTGGAAACCAAGGACCCAGAGTCTGGAGGAAGAATGAAGCGGCACACACTGCAAGATGCAAGATGCAAGATGCAGTTTCCACAGTCTGTGTTGATTTGGGGAGCCATGTCATCTGCTGGTGTTGGTCCACATGCTTCCTTCCACAGACAAGCTTTATGGGGATGCCAACTTCATTTTCCAGCAGGACTTGGCTCCTGCCCACACTGCCAAAAGCACCAAAGCCTGGTTCAATGTCCGTAGGATTACTGTGCTTGATTGGCCAGCAACCTCGCATGACCTGAACCCAATAGAGAATCTATGGGGCATTGCCAAGAGAAAGATGAAAGACATGAGACCAAACAATACAGAAGAGCTGAAGACCGCTATTGAAGCATCCTGGTCTTCAATAACACCTCAGCAGTGCCACAAGCTGATCGCTTCCATGCCACGCCGCATTGAGGCAGTAATTGCTGCAAAAGGGGCCCAAACCAAGTACTGAGTCCATATGCATACTTATACTTTTCAGAGGTCCGCGATATTGTTCTATGTACACTCCTTGTTTTATTGATTGCATGTAATATTCTAATTTACTGAGATTGTGGATTTGGGGTTTTCATGAGCTGTAAGCCATAATCATCGCAGTTATGACAAATCACGGCTTGAACTATCTTGCTTTGCATGTAAAGCATATATCTCATATATTAGTTTTCCCTTTACTGTTGCATTACTGAAATAAATGAAATTTTGCACGATATTCTAATTTTTTGAGTATCACCTGTATAGGCATGAATGCACCCACTGCAGCGGGGCCCATCCACTCTTTTTCTTCTTCTGAAAAGTGTCCAATTCTCAGATTGCAGTTAGAGAGTCAGTTCACAAAAGCTTTGATCCCAGTGAAATGGGAAAACATGCTTTCTTTTCTAGAAGCTTACCCAGACAAGTAGAAAGCCAGAATCATTGAGGTAGTTTTTCGTGAGGGTTTCATGATTCCAGTTGAAAATCCTCATGTTTTTCAATGGGTGGAGAATTTAAAATTGGTTAGAGATCACCCTGTAGTTGCTTGGGAAAAGATTAACAAAGAGCTAGAACTGGGTAGGATTGAAGGCCCATTTGATTTACCCCTCTGCCCCTTTCTCTAAATTTATATTGTCATAGTTCCTAAAAAAGAAAAAGAGAAAAATCGCCTAATTCACCACTTTTCCTCTCCATTGGGTTGTTCTTTATTTTATTTTTTTAATTAATTTTTATTGAAGCAAATTTTTCCATATACAACAAATATACTGCACCTTGCAATCAAATTCATGAGATATGCAGCAGACAAATAAATAGTTACATAATTACATATCTTATTAAACGTATTACATCATTATACATCCTCTAATTTTTTCAAAACATGAAACATGATCACATAGTGTCCAAAAACAAATACAAACAAACAAAACAAACAAAAAAAAAACCCAGTAGGAGTACCCATCACCCTATTCCGAGCAGGAGAATTTCTTTAAAAAAAATTTAATAAAACATATAACAGTGACCATATTAATGTATCTCTTGACATTTCCAGATAATTTTTAGTACACCATAAATAAATTATGATTATATAGTTTAAGTATAATTCGGTACTATTTTATGTGATAATAAAATATTATTAAATATGTCCAATATTAGTTTAATAAAGAGAATCTGTATCAGAAGGAGTTTGTCCATATAGTCCCTTATATTTTTTTAACCATTCATAATACCAATCTTTTTTCTTCGATTTAAAAATAGTATTATTAATCAAGTCATATTCCATTGAAATTTGGAACATGATTTGATTAATCAGAATCCGTTTCTGAAACGGCTTTGATGATTTCCAATGTCTCGCAATAATAATTTTAACAGCAACTAAACAATGAGTGGCAAAACAAATATCTTTTTGTATTTTAAGATTCCAATTGATATGCAAGAGAGACAGCGTTTTCCAAAATTCTGTTGGCAGTCATAGTCGTAAAGTTATTAAAAGCCCAAAACCATAAAGGTCTAACAGCGGAGTATGACCACCATATATGGATATATGTACCTGGATGACTACCATATCTCCAGCAAGTAGTGTCATAGGAATCATACATTCTAACTAATCTAGTCGGAGTATAATACCATCTATAAAGGACCTTAAAGTGGCATTCAGACAAATTTAAACAATGAATGTGTTTATGTAAATGACTTAAGGAGGAATACCAATCTTCCAGAGGAATCTCCAGTTCTAATTCCTGTTCCCAGATCTTAATCAATTTGTAGGGAGATTCCTTAAGACCTTCCAACATGGAAGCTGCAACAGATGTAACCTTTTTAATAGAATGATTGCTAAATATAAATTCTATTTTTTTGGCAAATAAAGAAGAGTTGATAATATTTTTATGAATGAAATGTTTTAAACGAATATAGGTGAACATTTCTCTCCGTGGTATATGAAGAGTATCTATAATGGATTGAAAAGACATTACATTGTCCCCCTGCATAATATCTGCGATCTTTAAGTTTTCAACATTGACCCAATTCTTTAACAAGAAGTCTTTTACAATTATTTCCACTATATCAAGTCTACACGACTTAATTTCTAACCATTCTTCCAAAGTTTGAGATAATGTCAATACATTTGTTGAAGAAGAATTCATTAAGATAGGCCTAGTAACTGTCCACATAAAGTATTGTAATTTTTCATTATGAGCCCGTGCAGACTCAATAATAAACCATGGTTCAGAGGCCAGTTTAGGATCCTGTAAGATATATATGTGCCTAATAATATTTGCATAATAACTATAGATAATACTAGGAAGATTTAGACCGCCATAAGTCAATGTTTTTGTTAAAATTTTCTGACTAATTCTAGGTTTCTTATTATTCCAGATGAAATTATTAAAACTTGATTGTATCAATGCTAACCAGGGCCTAGGAACCTTCAATGGGACCATGGAAAACAAATAAGGCCACTTGGGAAGAATGTATGCATTGATAATATTTATTTTACCTTGCCAGGAAGTTTCAAGATTTTTCATTTTTTTTTATTTAACATCCATATTTTTCATAAGGATCCCAACATTTCTCTCCATAATACTAGAAACATTAGCAGTTATAAATAAACCTAAATAGTTTATTTCTTTATCTGTCCATATAAATTTATATGTCTAGGATAAGATGTTTACCTGATCATTACTCATATTCAGAAACAATACTGTGGATTTTGTAATATTTAACTTAAAATTTGAAATATTGGAATATCTATCAATTTCATACATTAGGAAACGTAAAGAAGCCTCTGGAGATGAGAGAGTAACTAACGCGTCATCCGCGTATAATGATATTTTAATATCCGCAAATTTCGTATGTATACCTTTAATCAATGGATTATTCCTAATATTTATGGCCAAAGGCTCAAGAGATAAAATATAAAGCAAAGGGGAAAGAGGACACCCTTGACGAGTACCATTTTTAAGTTCAAACCAGCCTGCAGTTATATTTGGCCCTACAGTTCGAGCAGAGGGAAAAGGGTACAAAGCCGATATTGCATTATGTACCCAACCTGTAAACCCAAAGGCATTTAGGACCTCACTCAAGTAGCCCCATCCGACCCTGTCGAACGCTTTTTGGGGTTGTTCTTTAAATGATGGCATCAATAAAGATAATTTTGTTGTGAGTTATGCTTCTTTTGATGATGCTGTTAACTGGGTAAGAGTTTGTTGCAAAGGTGCCCTGCTAGCAAAAGTAGATGTGGAAGCTGCATTCAGACTACTGCCAATTAACCCGTTATCTTTAATTCATTAGGTTTTCAATTTGATGAAAATTTTTATTTTGATAAATGTTTACCAATGGGTTGTTCCCTTTCATGTTTTTATTTTGAAACTTTTTTGGCACTGATAAAGGTATTGGGTATTGATTCAGTTCTTCATTATTTAGATTATTTTTTTGTTTATAGGCCCAAGGAACACACAGGATTGCAAGAGGCTGCTAGATTGCTTTATCGGTTTGGCAGGCTATTTTGGGGTTCCACTTGCAGATGAAAAAACAATGGGTCCAACAACTGAGCCGCAGTTTCTTGGTATTATGATTAATACAGTTTACCTTCAGAGAAAGTTATAAAGTTATGTCAGCAAGAAAAGTTACAGTTAAAATATTGCAATCCTTGCTTGGTTTATTGGCATTTAGTACAAGAGTTATCCCTATGGGAAGAGTGTTTAGTAGTAACCTAGCATTAGCACTCTCAGGAAAAAAATCTCCACATTGCCATATTCATGTGAACAAGGATATAAAAGATGATTTTTGATTATGGAAATCTTTTTTGAAAGGTTTCCATGGCAGAACATTGTGGCAGGAAGATTTCAGGTCTGATGAAGAGTTGAGTATATTTACAAATGCAGCCGGTTCAGCAGGGTTTGGTATAAAATGGGGTGCTGAATCCTGGCCTACTCATAGGGAGGAGATTGGTTTGTCAAAAATCTTAGTTCTTTTCGAGTTATTTCCTATAGTAACTGCAATAAACATTTGGGGAAAGGATCTGGCTAATAAAATAATTATTTTTCATTGCGATAATATTGGTGTAGTTTGGGTAATAAATAAGCAGAAAGACAGTTTTGAATTTACTCAGACATTTAGTGCTTGAATGTTTTTTTAACAATATTTGGGTAAGAGCAATACATTTGCCAGGAAAGGTTAATAATGTGGCTGATTCTCTTTCATGCTTACAGTTTCAGAGGTTCCGGAAGTTACGTTCCTCAGCAGAAAAAATGGGTGTGAGGTTTCCCCCCAGCCTTTGGGACTGGATTTTGAAAAAAATAATATTTACATCCATAGATCTCTGGCTAAGTCTACATGGTCATACTATGTCAGGGCCTGGAGTGACTGTTTTTTTTTTATTTTTCAAGGGTAAAGGCAGAGATCCAGAGAGATTGAGTAGACAGGAAACACTAGAATTCTTAACAAAGCTTATTCATGGTCTCTCAGGGAATGTTATAAAGAGATATTTTCATGGTATTTGTTTTTTCTTGAAATTGGGCAGACCTGTCATTACAACGGATTTCATTTTCAATCAAATTCTGGAAGGGATATGATACAAGGAAGAGAACTCCAGATCAGAGAAGACCAATGTCTTTTCATCTTTTGTTTAAAATGTTTCATGTACTTCCAAGGGTATGCCACTCAGACTACGAAGTTATTCTATTTAAAGCAGCATTCAACTTAGCTTTATTCGTCTGACTGAGTTAGTCTCACAAAGTAAGAATAACCCAACAGGGTTGCAAATTGGAGATGTTACCGTTGAGGTGAATAAGATAGTAATTTTTGTTTTCTGGATCAAAAATGGATACAGAAGGCAAAGGAAAATGTTTGTCAATTGAGAAGGTAGTTGGCTCTGAATGCTGCCCAGTGATGTCAATCAAAAGAGTTTTACAAATCAGACCCAATGTAAATGCTCCTTTTCTCTTACACAGAACTAGCATCCCTTTAACAACTTTTCAGTTTTAAGTTTATGCATGAAGGAACTAAGGTTGGGACATCTTAAGTTATCTTCACATTCTTTTAGAATAGGTGCAGTTACAGAAGCTGCTAAACAAGGTTTAGATGAGAACATAATTTAAAAAAATTGGAAGATGGGCGTCGGGTAGATTTAAGAGTTATATTAGACAACAGTTTTTATAATTTTGAAATGGAAATGTTAATGTTTTTTCTCATTTCCAGATGGCAAGCCAAAAGTGGTCTGGATTACTGGCAGGGCCAGATTAAGAGCCCAGTGGGCCTGGTGCTGACAATTATGACGGGCCTAATTACAGAATCATATCGACCAAAAACAGTAAAACACTCCCAAGCGTCATGTATCTGATGGAGATGGTGCTGGAGAGAAAGAAAACAGCCGCTATAAGAAAACACATAACCTAGGCTAATCTCTCACTAATTTATGTTTTCATCTTTCAAGTAAATCCATAACCCCTAACAGCAGTGTCCAGTCAAGCAGGAAGTCAATGGGCACGGTAAAAGGGTGTGCCACTGACACAAATCACGTAACCTGCCAAAAGGGGCGAGCATGCCCAAAAAGAGGATATGTCTGCCCAAAGAATTAGAAGGCCAGCCTGGTATGAATGCATGTCAGGCTGCCTGCCAATCATGCAGCTGGCCAACTGCATGATTGCAGACAGCACCCTGAGCTTGGCATAAATGCATCTAATGATGCACTCGCTCAATGCTTTCTAAGGTCTGTCCCCTAGCACTCGCTGGTCCACTTGTCTCCTTACCTTTTTACTAGCAGGCAGAAGCTCCTGGTATATAGTCTGGGACAGAGAAAAGCTGTATGTAGTGAGTGCAGAAGAAAGGGAACATGCCACAGTGTTAGAGAGACCAAAGTCAGCATTACCTTAAAGGATCACTATAGGGTCAGGAACACAAACATGAATTCATGACCCTATAGTGTTAACACCACCATCTAGCCCCCCTGGGACCCTCATGCCTCCATAAATATAGCAAAATCTTACTGTATTCAAGCCTGAAGCTGTAACTCTGCATGCTGTTAGACTCCGAAAAACAAGCAGTCTGCTGACATCATTAGAAATGGTGGCCTAATCCAATCACAGTGCTTCCCCATAGGATTGGCTAAGACTGACAAAGAGGCAGATCAGGGGCAGAGCCAGCATGATTCAAACACAGCCCTGGCCAATCAGCATCTCCTCATAGAGATGAATTGAATCAATGAATCTCTATGAGGAAAGTTCAGTGTCTGCATGCAGAGGGAGGAGACACTGAATGTTTGGATGCATTTTAGGCAGCCATGACCCAGGAAGAATCTCTAACAGCCATCTAAGGAGTGCCAGTGAAGTTATCACTAGGCTGTAATGTAAAGACTGCATTTTCTCTGAAAAGACAGTGTTTACAGCAAAAAGCCTGACGGTAATGATTCTACTCACCAGAACAAATTCAATAAACTGTAGTTGTTCTGGTGACTCTAGTGTCCCTTTAACTATATTCATTGTCAGCTAGTCCACACAAGTTTTGTTCCCATACATCCCTCTTAAGTTTCCATACTTAAGTAAGAGTATGTGAAAAGTAGTTAGGGTTGCCACCTTTCTTGGAAAAACATACCGGCCTTGCTAATTTGCATAATTAAATATGTATGGGTGACATCACATGATGTAAATCACAAGGAGTGACATAAGAGAAAATGCTGTAAAATCACCAAAAAACTACTTAGTTTGATTCTGCTGTATAGATGGATTCCTCCCAGTGCCCCCATGTGTCGATTACTCCAGGTCTCAGTGTTCCTATGTATCAGTGCCCCATGTCTCCCAGTATACCCTAGTGTCATGTCCCCAGGTCTCCCAGTGATCCTATGTATCACAGTGTCTCAATGCCCCATGTCTCCATGTGTCCCCATGTATCCCAGGGTCCCCATGTCACTAGGAAGATGAGAAGACCTGGGGACACGGGGAGACCTAGGGACACGGAGACACCAGTGACACTGGGAGACGAGGGGACTCTGGCCGGGACGCATGGGGACACTGGGAAAATAGGGGACACTTGAAGACATGGGGACACAGACACCAGGGACACAGACTCTAGAGACACTGGCTGGGGGACATGGGGACATTGGGGCACTGGGAGACATGGAGGCACTAGGAGACATGGGGACAGTGAGACACTGGCAGACTGGGGGCACTGGGAGACTAGGGGGCACTGAGACACCAGGGACACTGGATGGGAGACATGGGGACACTGGGAGACATGGGGACACTGTGTCCCCATGTGTCTGTGTCATAATGTCTCCCAATGTCCCTTAGTGTCTCAGTGTCTGCCATAATGTCTCCCAGTGTCTCAGTGTCCCCATGTCTCCTTGCAGCCTTTCCCCCCATCCCTTACTTCCCTGAGCTGTAGGCTGTCTCTGCAGGGTGGGAGTTGCTGCCTGGACTCTCTGCAGCTGCTCCCCTGCAGATCAGTGAGTATAGATAGGCAGGGAGGGATATGCTGGAATCTCCTATCCCTGCCTGTCTCCACACACAGTGACCCCTACTGGCCAGTGCTGGTATTGCATAGTAATCTCTTGTTTATACTGAGAAAAATACCAGCATTTGTATTGCCAGTATCACTGCAATATTGGCACCAGCCAGGCAGCCTCAAATACTGGCTGTGCCAATAAAATAAAAGCCAGGTGGAATCCCTAAGAGTAGTGTGTGAAAAAAAAAAATGTAAAAAAAAAAAAATTTTTTTTTTTTTATAAATCAATGGGCCTATTCCATGGGCCTGGGCCTGGAGCTGCAGCTCCATCAGCCCCTATGTTAATCCGGCCCTAATTACTGGACATTCTTTTATAAACTGGGCTCAGAAAAGAGCAGCAGAGAGATTATATAGAGAGAACCTGAATTTTGATTGTTCAAAAGTTTCGATATGTTGGTGGGGAGTTCGAGGTTTGAGATGTGAACAATTATTGGATGTTTTTAAACACTGAATCTTACATTTGCCAGAGCCAGATGTGATTTTAATTCACATTGGTGGTAATGATTTAGGTTCTGTGAAATCTGTGTTTCTTTTATTTTTGTTAAAAAGATTGTTTGTTTCAAATTACACCTGGTTCTCTGAAGTTTTGTTAATTTGGTCGGAGGTTATACCTAGATTACAATGGGTTAAAGCAAGCATGTCAAACTCAAGTCTAGCACGGGCCAAATAAACTAGGTTTAAGTTTATGTGGGCCGCAAAAAAACCCAAAACTTAAATTTTCATAGAAACGTAGGTTTATTTAGAAAAATTCAGTATAAAAAAAACAGCATCCCCCTCTACTAAACTACAGTCTCCCCCATATACTAAATCCCAGTCCTCCCCCTATACTAAATCCCAGCACTCCCCTCTAGCCAACAAGCAGACCCGGTATTCATGCCAGTGTGGCCAGCCTCTTCTCCTGGGGGGCCCAGGAGCTGGCCACCTAAGGGCCCACCGGGCGGCCAGTCCTGCGGGCATGCGAGGGAGCACTCTCCCCTGAGCGCTCTCTGCCCAGCTCCCTCGCGCACCGTTTTCTGATGCCGGAGCCAGAATATGACATCATATTCTAGCTTCAGCATCAGTACGCGGCGTGCGAGGGAGCTGGGCAGAGAGCTCTCAGGGGAGAGTGCTCCCTCGCGCGCCCACCAGCAAGACAGCCAGCCCGCCCGGTGACCGGCCACCCAGCAGCACCACTGGACCCCAGGGAATCCCCTCACCTCTCCCAAAGGTAAAGAGGCTGGGGGATTAAATTTTAAAAAAATGTGTGTGTGTGTGTGTGTCTGCTAGTGAGTGTCAGTGAGTGTGTTAGTTTGTGTGTCTGCTAGTGAGTGTCAGTGTGTGTGTTAGTTTGTGTGTCAGTGAGTGTGTTACTGTGTGTGTCTATTACGGAGTGTGTTTGTGTGTGTCTGTTAGTGAGTCTGTTTGATGTCTGTTAGTGAGTGTGTGTTTGTCAGTGAGAGTGTATGTTTTGTAAGTCAGTGTGTATGTGTGTCTGTCAGTAAGTATGAATGTATTTCGCTGAGTGTGTCTCTGTCAGTAAATGTGTGTGTCTGTTAGCTAGTGTGTATGCGTCTGTTTGTGAGAGTGTGTGTTTAAAACCCCTTCAGCACTTACCTTTCTCCAGTGCCGGACTCCCTTGGCACTGGGGATCCCTCCGCCCCAATCCACCTCTCAGCTCCAAGAGCCGCGCGCGCGCATTCAAACCGCCCATAGGAAAGCATTACTCAATGCTTTCCTATGGACGTCCAGCATCTTCTCACTGTGATTTTCACAGTGAGAATTGCGGAAGCACCTCTAGCGGCTGTCAGTGAGAGCCACTAGAGGCTGGATTAACCCTCAGTGAAACATATGAAACACATTTATATGTTTTCAGCTGCTGGGTTAAAACTAGAGGGACCTGGCACCCAATCCACTTCATTGAGCTGATGTAATCTGGGTGTCTGTAGTGGTCCTTTAAGTGTGTGTGCATCTGCATGCACTGACGTACATACCGCGGTCGCAGTGGTCAGAGCCCTGCGACCAGGGCCCGCCGCCATGTGTTGCGGCCCCGGCCCGCGCAGAGTAAGCATGGGGGGGGCCCACGGATCAATTTTCGTATACCCCAAATGGCGCCGTCCACACCCTGTGCCAAAGCGGATCCTCCCGCTATGGCCGCGGCTGGACAGTGGAGTACCTGGAGGTGCACGGAGGCATGCAACACCACGTCACATTCCAACGTGATGTTAACGTGTTCCACCTTCACAGGTTTCAAGAAGTAGCAAGAGGTTTCGCTTTGGCACAGGGTGCGGACGGCGCCATTTGGGGTATATCAGAGGCCGGACTCCGGAGTCACATACTGGCAGCAGCAATGTGAGTGGAGTCTGCTTGTTGGCTAGAGGGGTGCTGGGATTAAGCATAGGGTGAGGACTGGGATTTAGAAGAGGGGGATGCTGCAGTTTAGTAGAGGGAGATGCTGTTTTTTTTTTATACTGTACTTTTCAAAATAAACCTATGTTTGTAGGAAAATAAATGTTTGGGGGTTTTTTTGCGGCCCAGATAAACTTAAACCTTGTTTATTTGGCCCATGCTAGACTTTGTTTTACAGGGTTATTTACTAAATCGAAATCTCTAGAAAAATTCAAAGTGAATTTCAAATTTAGGGTCAGAGTAGCTGAACTGCAGGCATAGCTGACATAGAGAATTTTTCCAGTTTGGCTGTCTGGTCCTTTAAATTCACCTCTAGTGAACCTTTGTTTAGTGAATAACTCTTTTAGTCTCCTGATTTTATGATCCTGGTGAGATAGTTCCCTACTATGACAGAGTGTTGGGGATGGTGGTCAGGGGTGTATATCTGGCACCCAGACTTTTGCGCATCCATTATCCTGACATGTGGTTAAGCACATGCAGCCCCAGGGAAAGTTAAGGTTAAATGTAGGTTTTTTTTTCTCTGTTGTTATTTGGGTCCCTGGGGTGGAGTATTCGGAAGAGCAGGGTGGGCCGATTCTCCACCCACTGTCAGAGTGGCTGTGCATGAGTCCAGCCCAGGTTTTCTAAGGAGTTCTGGCTCACTACCTAACAAGGTCATTAGCCTCGCCTGTGAGCAGCTATATAACTGCAGTTAAAGCAGGGTGGAGTGAGGGAAGTGTTTTTGAGGAGAAAGAAGGTTTGCTGTGTGTTGTATCCTGTTACTTACCAACAGAAAATAAACAGGCCAGAGGTCTTTGAAACTGGACTGTGTCTTAGTCTGGATTCCTTATCCTAGAGGGATGTGCAGTTGCCAAAAGATCCTGGACAAACACACACAGGGAAGTAAGTTTGTCACACTACCTTATTGTGATTTTTCTGTTATCTCAATAAAAAATAAATTAGAAAAAAAAAACATTGGTCAGTGATTTGTGTTCACATTTTAATAGCAGCGAAATCAGAACAGTTATTTACAAACATTATGTAAAGTTATTCAGTCTACCAGTTATAAAAGCTCAGTTTTATTAAATCTTACAAAATAGAAAGGATCCAGTAATGTGCATAGGTAATGCATAGTGCAAATAGAAGTGGAAGTATACAGTAGTAGAGACAAATCATAAATGAAGGATATGACATTTAAAAACACCACTTTCATAGAACACTCCAAGCACCATAACTACTGCAGCACACTGTAAGGTTTATGGTTCCAGGAGTGCCTTGGTGCCCAATGTAAGGAGCTTCTGTTAACTCTCCTGAGCTAAAGCCCTGCAATGCAGGATAAACACATTCATTGGATATCATCGGCTGATCACTCTCAGCCAGTAAACTAAACTCTGCACTCTCTGGCTCAGCTCAGACAGAAACATTCAGGCTCGGAGCGGTGCCAAGAATACCCATAAAATGAACTCAGCCTCAGCAATCCTGAATTCAGCAGGTTATATGCACAGTTTTACACAATATTATTTTATATTGTTACCATTTTATGACTTGCCTTTAACAGTATTGCAAGATTCCTAATGTAAAACAAGCATTAAAAAAAACCTATAATTTTATTAAAGGACCACTCTAGGCACCCAGACCACTTCAGCTTAATGAAGTGGTCTTGGTGCCAGGTCCTTCTAGGGTTCACCCATTTTTTTTAATAAACATAGCAGTTTATCAATGGGTTAAGCCTTCCTCCAAATCCTCTAGTGGCTGTCTCGTTGACAGCCGCTAGAGGCGCTTGCGTGCTTCTCACTGTGAAAATCACAGTGAGAGCATGCAAGCGTCCATAGGAAAGCATTATGAATTAGCTCTTGCAGTGCGTGCGCATTCAGCCGACGGGGCGGATCAGAGGAGGAGAGGAGGCTGAACCCCGCCCAGCACTGGAAAAAGGTAAGTTTTTACCCCTTTCCCCCTTCCAGAGCCGGGCGGGAGGGGGACCCTGAGGGTGGGGGCACCCTCAGGGCACTATAGTGTCAGGAAAACGAGTGTTTTCCTGGCACTATAGTGGTCCTTTAAAACTATATTGTATTTTTTAATTGTATATACTTGTATTTCTTATGTAATCAAAATGTAGTGAATAGATAAATGTATTTATGAGTTTAAAGGATTACTCCAAGTACCATGATTATGTTACTGTAATTAAGTCATGATGCTTGCATTCAGTATGTGCAATGTTTCATTTTGAAACAGCAAAAAGGATCTTGAACTCTACAGACCTTCTAATGCCAAACATTCCACATACACCACAGCCAACTAAAAGTGTTTACATTAAACAGCAAATAATATGGTGGTGTGTCCACAGTAAATATTAAACTCTGTCACTTTAAATTACTTCTATATTTTAAACATTAAACCCTTTTAGGACGGAAGCAATTGTACAAGTTCTGATCAAAACAAAATCAAACAAAACCTGTGATTTGACTATATGTCTGTTCAACCATAATTTACCTCTTTCATATTAAGTGCACCCACCCTTATTATATATCATATGCTTAAGAGAAACAGGGATTTTATGTCACATCAAAAATGTATAAATGAAACCTAATTTAATTTATTTCTGCATGACATTTTAACCCTGAATATCATAATAATGTTTGCTTTTACTTCAATAAAATGCACATATTTGTATTCAGCAATGTCTTAAGAGTACAACAGTACCTCGATGTACATGTTTTATGGGGTTTTAGAAACTTACAGGATCAAATATAGGGCTTTCCGCTTTTACATTTTTGCACTTTGAAATTTGTCAGCTTTGTATGTTGCCTTTGAGACTGTATGGCAGCCCAGAAATTAAAATTAACCCCATCATGGCATACCATTTGAAAAAGTAGATAACCCAGGGTATTCAAAATGGGATATGTCTAGTCTTTTTTAGTAGCCACTTAGTCTCAAATCCAGGCCAAAGTTAGCATTTTTTTGTTGTTGCATTTTTCACAAAAAAGCTGCCTTTTCACCAATGATATTATCAGCATTATACATTTTACTGTTCCAAAACGCTCATATTTGTGTTCAGCGATGTCTCACATGTACAACAGAACCCCCATGTCCAGGTTTTATGGTGTTTTGAGACCATATGGCAGCCCAAGAATAAGAATGAATCTATCATGGCATTCAAATAGGAAATATAGACAATGCAAGATATTCAAAACGGGGTAAATCCAATACAAATCCAATACAAATACAATGTGTATGTACAAAAAAATAAAAATTAATACCACAAAATTTGAAAAAAATGGTGGTATAAATAGCAATTCAATAAAGCTCAAAATATGTCATGTGATAATTACCATGGTGTCCACTTTTGCAAATGGTGTGCATTTATGGAGTATTTGAAATATGTGAGATACTAAAATTCACCAAAATGCACCATAAGCCCATCTTTAATTTGCCATTTAAAAAACAGAAATTGCAATGGGTTGGTTATAAATCCAGCTCTGTTTTCTCACAAAACTTGACATGGGGTCTTTCTTTTTCAGGAGACATAGTTGAACTAAATTTAGGGATTTTTATTGCAGCAGAACTTATCAAATTTAGAAAATCTACAAAAATGTTTGCATGCACATGGCAGTGTGCCATGTGCATGTAAACATTTTTGAAAATAAAATACTATAAATTTTGAAAGATATTGGTGCTACAATAACTGTATAGTAAGGTTTAAAATATACTATATCACATACCTTGTGATGTCTACTTTCACAAATGGTATGCGGTATGGGGTAATTTCAACTGCCATACTGTTACAATGCTCCAAAATGCATAATAGGCCCATCAATTTCATTTATCGAAATTTTAATTGTAAAAACTGAAATAGTCATGTGTCTTGCATGGCACTGTAACTTCATAGGGTATTGGCAAAAGCACATATTGAGAGTATTGTAGCTGTACACATTATGGGGTTTTGCACAGTAGTAGTACACATCAGGTTTACGAAATACACATTTAAAAAAAAAAAATCTTGTTCTATGTGTATATGTTAAAAAATCAAAACACAATTTTACTCCAATATTTAGAGATTGGCAGTTAAATGGCTACATAGTAAGAGTTAAACATCCTTAGATAAATAGCCTGTGATGTCTACTTTATATAAATATATACTCAGGGCCAGCGCTACCTGTTAGGCAGACTAGGCAGTCTCTAGAGAGTCTCAGGTGGCTGCAGCTTTGCCCTGGCGGTGCGTCCATGAGGGCGGACCGCAGCGCCCGGGCGCAGCCTGAGGAGAGGGGCTGACAGGAGGGAGCGCTCAGCACTCCCTCCTGTCACTCCCTCCCTGTAGCGTGGCTGAGCCCTGTATCATGATGGTCTGCGAGTACAGGGAGCATCTGTCTCCTGTACCCGGCCGGACTAACAGGAAGTACACACAGAGTGTGCACTTCGTGTTAGTCCGGCCGGGTACAGGAAACAAAAGCTACCTGTACCCGCGGACCATCATGATACAGGGCTCGGCCACGCTACAACAAAGGTGGGGGGGGGAGGAGAAAGAAATTGGGAGGGTGGGAGAAGAAATTGGGAGGGTGGGAGAAGAAATTGGGAGGGGAGGGGGGGGAAGAAGAAATTGGGAGGGGAGGGGGAGAAGAAGAAATTGGAAGGGAGGGGGAGAAGAAGAAATTGACAGGGGGGAGAAGAAGAAATTGGTGGGGGGAGAAGAAATTGAGGGGTGAGAGTGACAGGGGAGGGAGGGGCAATGAGAGTGGGAAGGGGGAGGGGAGAAGAGAGTGACAAGGGAGGGGGGGGAGAAGAGAGTGACAAGGGAGGGAAGAAGAAATTGGTAGGGAGGGGAGAAGAAGAAATGGGAGGGAGGGGGAGAAGAAATGGGAAGGAGGGAGAAGAATAAAAAAAAAAAAAAAAAAAAACCAGAGGGGAGAAGAAATAAAAAAAAACAAAAAAAAAACAAAAAAAAAAAAACCAAAGAAGAAGAAATGGGGAGGAGGGGGAAGAAGAAATGGGGAGGGGGGAGAAGAAGAAATTAGTAGGGAGGGGGGAGAAGAAACGGGAAGGGAGAAGAAGAAGAAATGGTAGGGGAGGGGGAGAAAAAGAAATTGGTAGGGGAGGGTGGGAGAAAAAGAATTTGGTAGGGGAGGGTGGGAGAAGAAATGGGGAGGGGGAGAAGAAGAAATGGGGAGGGGAGGGGGAAGAAGAAGAAATAGGGAGGGGGAGAAGAAATGGGGAGGGTGGGAGAAGAAGAAATTGGTAGGGGAGGGGGGAGAAGAAGAAATAGGGAGAGGGGAGAAGAAGAAATTGACGGGGGTGAGAGTGACAGGGGAGGGAGGGGAAATGAGAGTGGGAAGGGGGAGGGGAGAAGAGAGTGACAAGGGAGAGGGGGGAGAAGAGAGTGACAAGGGAGGGAGAGGGGGGAGAAGAGTGACATCCATCACACACACATGCAATGCACCCCTTGCACACAGAAAAACACACAATGCATTACACACACAGACACAGACACACACACACACAAACAATGCAACCCTTACACTCAATGCACCCCTTACACACGCACACACTGCATCCTGTGCATACACAGAAACACACCTTGCAGCCCTTACACATACAAACACAGATTCACACAATGCATTCCTTACACACATATCAGGACATCCCCTACACACTCCACCCCCTGTAAACAATCTCATTGGTGGAACATGAAGGTGGACCCTGGAACCCAGACCTTGAGCTGTGTAAAGGGCCCCCAAAAAATGGAGCTGCTTCCCGTTCTCCCAGAACATTGATTTTTGTGACCACAGTTACAAACAGCCTCCAGAGAGCCTGTTCTACACCAGACCAGTGGAGCCAGACTGCAGCTAGAGCCCATCATCATCCTCATCTCGTTGTAAGTAGGCAATCTAGTATATTATTCGTGGCACTAATATCTAATTTACCTCACATTAAAGAAACACTATAGTCCCCAGAACCACTGCAGCTTAATGTAGTTGTTCTGGTGTCTATAGCCTGTCCCTGCATGCCTTATAATGTAAACACCGCGGCACTGCAGCACTGGCGTTAGTTAACATGGCAGATCATATGGGCGGAGCATTATGATGTAACATGGGGGGGGGGGCGGCAAACTTTACTTTTGCCTAGGGCGGCAAAAATCCTTGCACCCGGCCCTGTGTATACTTTTGTATTTTCTGTTATGGCTTACAAGACAAACATACCAAACTCTAAAATTGCTCCACTTTGAAACAATATTTTACTCCTTGTATTTTGTAATCCTTAACTATCAAAAATAAACTGAAATTCTAGACATATTGTGTACTCTGTAAATCCTGACATATAAATGAATGTGTTGTAATTTTTTAAAATATATTTTTGCATTTATTTGTATTTTTTTTTATAATCAGAAGTTGTGTATGTATATGTTACATCAAATTAAAGCCCTTTATGTCCTTTAACAGATGTTATGTAACATGTATGGGGTCACCTGAAGAAAAACCCTTAAAGGGACACTATAGTCACCCAGACCACTTCAGCTCGATGAAGGGGTCTGGGTGCCAGGTCCCTCGGGTTTTAACCCTTCAGATGCAAAGATAGCAGTTTCAGAGAAACTGTTATGTTTACATTTGGGGTTAAGCCAGCCTCTAGTGGCTGTCTTCCGTATAGCCACCAGAGGCGCATCTGCCACGCTGGAGGCATATTATGCCTCCATCACGCAGAGCGCTCATGGGAAAGCATTGAGAAATGCTTTCCTATGGACACTTTGAATGTGCGCGCGGCACTTGCCATGAACGCACATTCGGCTCCGCTGAAGTTGGCAGAGGGAGCTGACGTCTGAGGGGGAGGAGAGGTCACCAGCGCCGAGGGAGCCCGGCGCTGGATTAAGGTAAGATGCTGAAGGGGTTTTAACCCCTTCAGCGCCACGGGAGGGGGACCCTGAATGTGGGGCTCTTGCGGCGCATGCGCATTCGGCCGATGACGTCGGAAGGAGGAGGAGAGTCCCGAGCGCCGTGGGAGCCAGCACAGGAGAGAGGTAAGGGATGAACCCCTTCCTCCCCCTTCAGCCCGGCAGGAGGGGGGCCATGAAGGTGGGGGAACCCTCAGGGCACTATAGTGCCAGGAAAACGAGTTTGTTTTCCTGTCACTATAGTGATCCTTTAAATTACGGTGGAACAAACCTATTGCTCAAATTCAAGGTTTTGTTTTTGTCCAGAACTTAGAAAACTCGCCTCTGTCCTTAAGAGATTAAAAATTGTGAAGTCCACATGAAAATTTCTTTTCAACAGCTCAGCAGTTCATTTTACATATATTTTAAATAGTGCATATGGCTCTCTTGTTTCAAACATATTTGTTGTTTGTCACATCCATGTTATTTTTAATATATTTCATATTTTAACTTATTTTCTAACATTTTTTAGTGATAGGCTGAGTTTATTATGGCATGTCACTAGAAAATAGACTGAATGAAAAGTATGACTAAAATATATGATCTCTACATTCATAGTAATGAGCAGATATTTTTTTTTTTTTCACAGCTATATATAACTAGGTCAAGTGAAAGGTCCAGGTCAGTGTATTTTTTGTCTGATTAACTTCTTAGTTATTTACTATTTGTTTTTTACACAAGCAGGTCACTTACCGAAGTGTAAATTGATAGTAATTTTCAAATTGTAGAACAAAGTTGAATTGGGAAAAATTTCACCAATTTGGCATTGTTTTCAGTTCAGCGATTTTTACCTAGACAATTCTCACTTTAGTGAATAAACTTGCTAGTGTTTGTATTAGTAGATTCTTTTTTAAATCTGTTAATATGGCCCTAGTACCATGGTTTTAATTGTGTTCATACCATTTGATGTATTTATTTATAACATGTTAGAACAAAGTAAAATGATTTTTGTTTTCAAGTATGTCTTGGACTTGTATACAGCAATTAAACAATCGACAAAAATTGCATAATAGAAAAAACACAAAGTCCAAAACTACAAAACAAATAAATTTTAAGGGAGAAGAATGTGGATGTTTTGCAGTGCAAAATCTAGAATTTTATAGTAAAACAAAGCAAGGGGTTGTTCTGGAAGGTGTATGCCAACATAAATTTTTTTTTTTTGATATTCTACAACAATCACTATAGTAATTTTACTGTTTTGCTAAAGCACCGTGTGCATAAATTATTACATTGAGCTTAAGTACTGTACTTTGAATTTGCACCCTATTTTACATATTCAAGTTTATTTTAAATACATTCCAGAGATTAATTGCAAAATAAATTAGCTTTCGGCACCAACAATGTCGCTTTATAATCTTACATTTATTTCTTAGCATTTCAAGTGGAAGCTACCGTATTTTAATGATATTATTATTTTATAAGTCAATTGACTTATCTAAATGGTGATGCTCTAAGCCGGAAGTGGCCAAATAAACATCCTGTTAATAGACTTTTTAATATCTGCAACAGAATTGTGCTTATTTATATACAATCTGGTTTCTAAGTTGTAAGGTTTTATGCTAAGACTCGATTAAATAGTCTTGACCATTTGTTAGCTTATGGTAAAGAATCTGAATTTTGAAGTAGTTGCATGTGTTGTGGCAGCAAAATGTATTAGAGGATGGGTAAATGGAATGATCATATGCATCCACAGCGATCTACCACCATGCCAGGAATTTTACCTTGTATGATTTCTGATTCATCATTAAAATACAACATATTAAGAGGAGATAATTTAGTTGGAGAACAACATGGGCCTGATGTACCTTTAGGGTTGGCTTGTTGAACAACATGAGTGTGAGCATATTTTTGCAGACGTCCATTTGGGCATTCTCCTAAGCAATAGTTTACTTTGTATTTCTTTGGTGCTATAACCCAGTCCCAACCAAAAGCTTCAAAATCTACTGTTAATGGGTAGCGACAACATATCGTTTCGGTGGAAAACTCATCACAATTGAGGCAGGAGTCTCTTCTTAACCTTTTTGGTGTGTCTATAATCTTGACCTCCATGAATGGAATCTGATGGAGAAACAAAAATAAGGTATAATCACATAATAACAATATATACCATTAGAGCATTGTTATGTCGAAATTTAGAACACAAAGTAGAAAAGTAACAAGACAATTATATAAAATAATATTTATCACGTGTTTTGAATAGATATCTAAAATATGGTCTAAAATACTAAATGTGGAGCATTCACCTTGTAAAGCATTGGAACCAGAAAGCACCTTCCATTGATGACTCATAGATAGAACATGTTGATAAATCGCCTGCTTTTTATTGTCTGAAAGGGACACTTCGGATTCCTAAAGCACTTTAGCTTGTTGAAACAACTACGGTGTAATGTCTTTTTTTATTGTCTGACAATTATTACAAACACATTTTCACAAAGCATCTTCTTACTTTTAAGTTCAACATTACTTCTAACTTTCAGTTAAGCTTACAGGTCAGGGTGAACGCAAAAGTTCAACACCAAAATCACTAATACTAAAAAGTAAGCAAATTTATGTTTCAAAATATGATGTAAATATCATGAACATGTACAAAATGATACTATAGCCAGTGACAACAAGACATAAAACATTGAATTCTCAAGTTCACATACTTTTTCAAATGAAGTATACATGATACAATCTAAAGCATTTAAATGGAGGTGTTAAATTTGTAAAGGCTGCCAAACAGTGCAATTAAGAAAGATTGTACGCAGATATTAAATTAAACAGCATAATGAACTAAACATCTGCTGCTCTGATGGATACTATGTGACCCCCACTGATCACTTTTCAAAACTGAGATGCATGTGGAATTTCAAAGCACTCGGCATAGGAAAACACTTGAACGTAAAATTAGTATGAAAAAAAGAGCTGATTAAAAAACATATGGTATATTATACTTTATACATATTTTTAATATTTCTTTTATTTTGTTTTATTTATTATATTACTTTTTATTAAAAGGGAGACAAAACATATCCATGTTACCCAAGAGCTTTGTTTATACATATTATTGCAGAAGTTTATTTTTCCATTTTTAATTCACGATATTTATGCAAGACCTGGTTTTTAGTTTTAGTCTTTCATGGTTATTTACCAACTTGAGAATTGTCAGGAAGTAAAAGTGAATTCAAAATTAATTTCACATTTAAGCACAAAATAGCCAAACTGGCAAAATTCTCTAAGCCAGATGTACTTCTGTTTTGGCTATTTTGGTGTAAAATTTGAAATGCACTCACACTGACAATTCTTACTTAAAGGACCACTATAGGCACCCAGACCACTTCAGCTTAATGAAGTTGTCTGGGTGCCAGGTTCATCTAGGATTAACCGTGCAGCTGTAAACATAGCAGTTTCAGAGAAACTGCTATGTTTACCTATGGGTTAATCCAGCCTCTTGTGGCTGTCTCATTGACAGCCGCTAGAGGCACTTCTGCGCTTCCCACTGTGATTTTCACAGTGAGAAGACACCAGCGTCCATAGGAAAGCATTGAGAATGCTTTCCTATGGACTGGCTGAATGCGTACGCGGCTCTTGCCGCACATGCGCATTGAGCCGATGATGGCGAAAAGGAGTCGGAGAGTCCCCGTGCCGAGGGAGCCCGGCGGGGGAAAACAGGTAATATTTAACCCCTTCCACCCCCTAGAGCACGGCGGAAAGGGGGCCCTTAGGGTGGGGGGGACCTAGAGACCCTATAGTGCCAGGAAAACTAGTATGTTTTCCTGGCACTATAGTGGTCCTTTAAGTAAGCCTGTATTCACCTGTATATAGTTCTCTCCACCCTATATTCATTTGTATGGGTGTAGGGATGGTGAGAGGGTTGGTGGTGGGTTAGCCCAGTACTCACAGTTTACTATTGTGGTTTACGTTGGTTATAATTTACATAGCTAATGCGGAAGTGTAAATTTTGTATAATCAATGTGACTGAGGAGAGTTGGTTGTTGTCAAAATGTTTACAAATAATTCGACACATTTGAGGATTGTTACCCAAAGAGTTTAAAACCACTGCACTTAACTGCCGATCTGTAGTGATTATGTTGCTTTAGTGTCCCTTTAATGGTGCTTATGACAGACCATAGGTTGCCATGGCATCTAATAATTGTATTCTGATGTTTTAATGTGTTCAGTATTTGAAGACCTTGGAGCTACTCACACAAGGCATCTTGGAAGATGTGAACGGTAAGTGTATTACACTCACCTACCTGCCACACCACGACTCTAGGTCTTGTTAACACCAGTTGGAGAATTGATTTTCGAGTTGTAACTCTGATAAGTCCCTCTGTCTTTCTCTGCCCTATGGAGGACCTATAATTGAAAACTAGAGTACTCTACAGGGCTCAGATAATATGGTGCATCTGACTAGCAGCAATATTGTATGAACATATGTTTTCAAGTTGCAATAGATACTTACAATACATTTTATGATATAGACCTCTGGTATACGTCACAGAACAGCAGTTAGTGAATGTGGTCTTCACTCATACAGAAATACATTTCCTGTAATATCCCATTCACACTCAGGCAGTTGGCAATTATACAATATTGCTTTATCAGTGAGCACTTTTTCATTAAAAAAGAAGCAATAACCTTAGCATATCCTCAGGTTTATTCAATGTTGTGCTACCTTCCAACTGTCTGCGATCTGGTGGAACAGTCCTGATTTGAAACCCCTATTCTTCCACTCTGGAATTCTTCCTAAGGAATCCCCCTTCCCTGGAGACCAGAGAAAAGTCCCCAAAAAGTGTTAAATTGCATCTGTGCAAAAGACGTATACAATTTATAATTGGTCACGTGAGAGATGAGAACATCCCTAACTGGCCAGCGTATATACAGTTTGTCACTGGTATAGAGTGTATTTGGCTCTACCCATCCTTGTACAATTTTCAAGCTGGTCAAAGCTTCACACTGATAAGACAGTTCATTAAATATGTTTAAAAATATTTATTTATGTATTAATCAGGCAGATAGATGGACCGGTTTCGTGAATCAATTTGTAAATCCCCTTTATGCATTTACATCCACCAGACATAAAATTGATTTTCAGCAGTGAACAGTGCAGGCGTAATGTCTGCTTGCAATGCTGGCATGTTAGATATTTTTTTTAAATGTTTTTGTTTGTTTTGTTTTTTACTAGGCCCCATTGAATCCCTTGATTATTAAAGTGGCACTGTCTCTTTTGGCCCATGTCCATAGTAAATAATTGATTTTACACCCCCCCTTGTCACTTGGCTTAACTTATATTTAGAATATTTTCTTCCATGTGCTATGTCTCAATACCTGGGGGCAGTCACTTTGTTCTCCGCTGACCTTGATGTCTGTGGTCTACCCTTGTGGGATCTTTTTACTGATGGACTGTGGTTAAATGTGATTGGTAACAAACTGAACCTTGCTTTCAGATGCCCCATTGTCAACTTTTGTCAAGTAGACTTTTATACATACGGAAACATAGTCCCTACTTTTACTTTTGAAAAGTAGAGGGATCAGAAAAAAATAAAAAGAGATTCAGACTCAGGGAACTATATAGAAGCAGATTAGATTAATTTTATATTTTGTGGGAGAGCCACTTTGAATACATATTGCAT